CACTAACTATCATTTTTTTTTCGTTGTTTGTTAATGGAGCAGCACTTCGCTTATCGTTCAACAATGACATTATAAATTGGTTTAAGTTGTACAATATGTTAGGTAAGATATTCAAGTATTTATATAAAAAAAATCGAGTACTGATTTATTTAATAAAACTAAACTTAATTAAGAAATAATTAACATCTACATATTTGAGGTATCTATCTTATTGCACCAGCCAATATGTTGTTCTGAAGTTTATAATTACTATATAATATTAATAAAATTAGAAAGTCACTAGTTCAAGGATCAAGCAACTAAATATTTTAAATTTCAGCAAGTTGAATTTCTGAACAATTCTATGTGTTGAAGAACTTTTAGAATACATGTTATTATTGAAGTCTAACTTAGATTCAGAACTTTATTTTATATTTCAAGTAGACGCTAATATACAGTATTACACTGTATTTATCTGTTTAGTTTCAATAATAGGCATCTTGTTTATATAATGAAAAAATATACTAGCCCAAGTTATCTGCTAATAAGTCCAAAGCAGGGCTAAAAAAAACTAGATATTGATATATTGAATAGCTACTACTTTCAATAATATATATATACATAAGACAACATATTTAAGGAAGAAATTATCTTTGTAAACTTTCTTATACTTAATATCAACTACGTAAATATTTTTGTATAATGATGACTTCTTTACCTGTATTAAACCATGATAGTGACCATGATAATAATTATAACAATGGCGATGAAAATGATTATGAAAATTATTATAAAAATGACTATGAAGATGATCCCAATAATAATCTTGACAATGAACTTGATAATAACCTTGATAATGATAATATAGTTAAGTAAGCGATATAGTGTGGAATTTCTTTAAAAAAGTTAAATAGAAAAAAAACAAAAAACAGCAAAGTGTGATGTACTTAAGTGCCCACATAAAGAGTTTTTTTGTGGAAGTGGGGTTCAACCAAAACACTATGGCGGCACTTAGAAAGTACTAATTGGTCTCAGTATGTTACAACAAAGGCATGTAATAAAAAAAAGAAGAAAGTTCAAGATGAACATAGCACTATTAAGGAAATATTTAAAGAAGTAAGTTATTACTAGTGTTAATTTTTCACATGAGCGCACATGTGCAGATCTAATCAAATTACTTGATTTTTTGAAATAAAGCAATTTGATTGGATTTGTATACACACATATAAAAAATAAACACTAGTCATTGCTTGTTTAAGCTTTTTAAACCCAAATAATTTAAATAACTTTATTTTAGAACCTAAGAATGTCTCTGCTATAACTTCAAATAAAATTGATAATTCAAAGCTTCATAATATGTTTACCTCATGGATTGTTAAATGTTAGCACCCATTCTCTATAATTGAAGACCCTGAGTTAGTAGATATTGTTCAGTATTTAAATCCTAAGCCAAAATTAGTCAAAACTAATACAATAAAGAATACACTTACGTTACTTTATAATTTAGAAAAAAGAAAATTAACGATAAGTTTTATATTATTATTTTTATATTATTTAGTATAGTAAGGTCTTATACAAACTTTATTTTTAAACTAAATATTACCTGTAGATAATAAGTAAAAAAAAAACCAGATATTATATAAATGCCGCAAAGCTAAAACATGCAAATTTTATCTAATAAGATTTGTATATTTTAGCTTTGCAATACTCATATTTAAAGTTAGATTATATTATGTTAGCCTTAGCAATAGATATTATTTTTTGAGATGCTATAAGCATATTAAACATTTAATATTTAATTTAAGTATGAAGCTTTTTGTTTAAAAGTTTAATTGTATTAACATTTCCTAAATTATTAAAGAAATTTTTATATTTTTTTTAAAAAAAATATGGAGGATAATAGAGCTCCACCAGGGGTTTAGACACTTTTGTAGTAACATGATATGGTGCATAGAAAATGACCAATCAGAATTCAAAACAAACACTTGTTCAAGAAGAAAAAAGTAAAAATACTTGAAAAATAGTGTTTAAATCAGTCTTTAAAAACTAACCACAAACTCTAACATGAACTCATACCCAAACCCTAAACTAAAGCAAAAATACGCTATATCACATGATGGCCACGTTACTGCAAAAGTGTCTAAACCTCTGGTGGGGCTATTATAGCCAGGCTTTAAAGAAGTTCCAGTTTACCCCACATTTTGACTTTTTCGGATTTAGATAATGAAGTAATCACTAGAGTGATAGGTAATACTTAGGTCGAACCATGAGTCCCAGTCTGTTGCTACAAAGAATCTACAGGTTATAGAACTTTAGAATATATATATTTCTTAAATATCAATATATATATATAATTAAATAAATATATATATATATAAATATATATATATATAAATATATATATATATAAATATATATATATATAAATATATATATATATTTTTTTTTTGGTATTAAGGTGACCTCTTTGGTCTGGGAACTTTTTATTAGAGTATAGATGAAGTTTTATATGTAAT